TGTCATAATCCAGTCTAGGGGTCAGGTGTAACTTTCCTGTTTTGCCCATCTGTCTCCAAGGTCCAGGGCAAYAMYRGAAATCTGGTCCGGTTCAAGGATTCAAGTAATCCCATACTGCATGTGCCTTGGGTCTTACCCTGGTGGCTGAGATAGGCCATCCCATCACTTGGTGACACACCAGTATCAGCCTTGGCAGGATAAATCTCCCTAGACTTATCCAATGGCTGTGAACATTTAAAACTAACATGAGTTTCTATAAGTGTCAAGTTTTAGGGTCTTACACAGAATTAAACCAAACAACATGAATCAAAAATGCACTTTATTTATTTCCACTAAATAACAAAAGTACATCAAATCGGATTGAAGCTAAGGGCATACAAAACTGTCTAACAATATAGAGATATATATACATGATTCATCTAAACTTAATGGTTTTTCTTGGACTTAATGCATTTCCATCTTAAGAGCTCTACTCGAGAGATCGAAGGGTTACCTGATGGACATAGTTTTAGTATATCTTTAGAGAGAATATTAAATAAATTTGGAAAGACGTCAGCTTATGGGAATGACGAACAATCTTGGTTAATCGAATCCATTAATATGCATTACATTGGTTAGGTGGACCAAAAGCCCTAGCGATTTCATCCATTGCATATTCAGTTAGTGATCACCCTTGCTTCTGTTTTCTTTTTCTAGTTTTTATTTTTAGTAGTTCTTGCTCAAAACTGAATTTCGATTGTCCAAATAATTTGGGAAGATTGTGGTTCTAATACTTATTTTGTTAAATCCCCGTGGGAATGATATTTTATACTACTTGATAACTAGTGCACTTGCTAGGGTTATATTTTTATAGTTATCAACCTTCTTGTAGGGTTCGGCTATCCATATGATGGATCTCTCATCCCTTCAGTGGTATCAGAGCGATGGTTCAAATCTGATCAACCTTTCTGGGAAATCGGTTCCCAAATAAAGGGCGAATGATCTGAAATTAATTTTTATAAATCTGGAATTTATTTAGAATTGTTCTTTATKATTTTCTTGATTTATAGGCTGTTCGTACAAATGGAGATCTAAATCTTTGCTGGCATAGGAAATCTGCGATTTCGTAGTTACTAGTCATTCTGGTCTGTAATTAATTTTTTTTTTAGACCGAATGTATAGGTATTCGATCTAATGTGATATTAATAGAAAAACTAGGGTTTTTTGTTTTATTTTATTGATGATCGAAGTTGGCGGCACAGAAGGAGATTTTGCAAATATCAAAATCGCTATCTGCGATTTGCAATTTGTGAAACTGCAAACTGTGTTCTGATGTTTGTGTTTGCAGGATGGATTTGTGCGAACAACCCCTAGTCTGATTCTTGTTTTTCTTTAATCAATAATTAATTTCAGATCATTTCTTGAATTAAATCTTTAATTAAAAATCAAACCCTAGGCCCATACGAACCAGGTTGGTCCAAACTGGTTGGACCAAACCTGTAGTTCGATGGAGGCTGATTGTCAGCCCTAATTTGCCACTTTTGGGTCAAGGGATTGATGGTTAATTAAGAGATTTAATTTGGCCCACACCTGTAAGGCCCAGTTTTAAAGAGTTAAAACTGCAAAAGCCCACTATTTGCAGGAAAGCTATATGGGCTGAACTGCTAACTGCTATTCAGCCCATATACCTAGGTAATATTAATTGGTAATATTATGGATTAAAATGGGCTTTAATAATGGGCTTTACAGATATTAATTGATTGGATCAATTCTATCATTGCATGTGATGTTTGGATGTGTGATGTGCTACGTACATGGGCCATAAGTACTTGACTCATGCAGATACGATAGTGGCTCTTGCGCACACCATGGCTGAATGCACATCATTGCCATGGTGTCCCTAAAGATTATTGGATGATCTCCCTCAATGGTGGGCCCCACAACCCTGATAAGGATACGTGCTGTACACTAGCCGTTTAGGGCTCACCAGAAAGCTGCCTTTATGAAAGTCAGTGGAAGCCACTTTGGTTTGACCTAAATTAAACTAGGGTGTAACTTTTGTTCCCTCCTGAAATATGAGTGCATGTGATAGGGAGATTCATATGATGAACTCTCTAAAGGCCTTCCATCATTAGCATGAAG